TTATGCCCCCCTCCCCCCAAACAGGAATTTTTCCAAGTCCAAAAGGGCAAAAATAGTGCAATTGTACCCAAAACAGAACTGTACCTAGATATTCATCTGATAAATCTGTACTCTAAATTTCATTTCAGTATGTGCAACAGTTGCCAAGAAAATGAAAACTGCAAATAATTGGAATTTTTCTAAGTCTAACGGGCATAACTCTGTCAAAAAAGGTGCAATCGTACCCAAAACAGAACTGTACCTAGATATTTAGCTGATAAATCTGTACTCTAAATTTCATTTCAGTATGTGCAACAGTTGCCAAGAAAATGAACGAAAACTGCAAAAAAATGGAATTTTTCTAAGTCCAAGGAGCATAACTCTGTCAAAAATGGTGCGATTGTACCAAAAACAGAACTTGACTTAGATATTCATCTGAAAAATCTGTATACTAAATTTCATTTCAACTTGTGCAACCCCTGCGAAGAAAATGAACGGAAACTGCAAATAATTGGAATTTTTCTAAGTCTAAAGGGCACAACTCTGTCAAAAATGGTGTAATCGTAACCAAAACAGAACTGGACCTAGATATTCATCTGATATATCTGTATACCAAATTTCATTTCAGTATGTGCAACGGTTGCGAAGAAAATGAACGGAAACTGCAAATAATTGGAATTTTTCTAAGTCCAAGGGGCATAACTCTGTCAAAAATGGTGCAATCGTATCCAAAACAGAACTTGGCTTAGATATTTATCTGATATATCTGTATACCAAATTTCATTTCAGTAAGTGCAACGGTTGTGAAGAAAATGAACAGAAACTAAGTGGACCAACAGACCGACAGACAGCAGCAAAGCAATATGCCCTCCCTTCTTTGAAGGGGGGCATAATCATAGTGTTGTCAGATCAGTTGAAAATCAGAATCGATTAATCGGTAGCATTGGTTGACCCTAACCAACTGATCATCGGCTAATAATCGAATCGGTAACCCTTTGCATAAAATAGGCATTAAATTTTATAAAATTTAGAATTTTATTGTTAAATAATGTAAGTAAAGGTACATTGTACAGATCGGAATTCTAAAAACAGTATATATGCAGTTTGATCAAGAATTTCAGTAATACAGATTTTTGCATGATTAGGAATTACTTGGCCTGGGAAAAGTAAACATAGACAGATCAGGTTTTAATTTATATATCATCTAAAATGTACATGTATATGGAATTAATTTTTTAAACTGTTATAAGACATTTAATATTGCAAATCCTTGTAATTCCGTGTGAAATGACAGGTGAATTCCCCCAAATACTGAAAACTAATATATTTCATTAATACAAGTAGTTTAGTTTCTTCAGTTTAGAAATACAATTATCATTATCTTTTGATTTATCTTAAACAGATTTTAAGCACATGTATTTTAAAATAGTAAAGGACAACTCTTGAAAGATATATAAGAGCCTGTTCTTGAAATAAAAGTGAGAAAACTGTAAAAAAAAAAAAAAAAAAAAAAAAAAAGATATGTGCTGAAATATACCGATTAATCGATTGTTAAAATCTCCAATCGATTGTCTAAAATCGACAGACTTTCCGACCGATTATTGATTATAAATCGATCATCGTGACAACACTACATAATCACTTCAAAAATAGCATTGCATATGACTTTATTTTGTTTTGAAGTGAATTAAAAGCATTCAGTTTTCAGGGCTTTTTAATTACCTTTCCTCAAAATATTTTGATATATTAATTTAAGTTTTCATAGTTTCCATGCAATAAAAATATCAAACCAAATTAGAAAATTATCTCATATCAATTAATTAATATCTTTTATTTTTTCCGCTATTCCAAAAATGCAACAATTTCTTATGTAATTGCTCTTAGGATTATATGTACATCATAGGAGTCAATTACTAGTATTTATAGTACTATAATATGCATTTTGGTGTTCCTAAAGTATTGAAAATGCGTATACATGCAGTTCCACTGTGTATTCTAGTGGCAAAGTTTACAGTGTTTTATAGGGCGTGAATGTTGTACATTTGTACCACTGGCTTTCATAAGGAAATATAATACTGAATGAACAAGAGATGTTTGTAAAACACTTATGCCCCCCTCCCCCCAAATTGGAATTTTCCTAAGTCCAAAATGGCATAACTCTGTCAAAAATGGTGCGATCGTACCCAAAACATTTCTTGACCTAGATATTCAGCTGATATATCTGTATACTAAATTTCATTTCAATATGTGCAACCTCTGCAAAGAAAATGAACGGAAACTGCAAATAAGTGGAATTTTTCTAAGTCCAAGGGGCATAACTCTAACAAAAAGGATGCGATCGTACCCAAAACAGAACTAGACCTAGATATTTATCTGTATACTAAATTTCATTTCAATATGTGCAACCTCTGCAAAGAAAATGAATGGAAACTGCAAATAAGTGGAATTTTTCTGAGTCCAAGGGGCATAACTCTAACAAAAAGGATGCGATCGTACCCAAAACAGAACTTGACCTAGATATTTATCTGATATATCTGTATACTAAATTCCATTTCAATATGTGCAACCTCTGCAAAGAAAATGAACGGAAACTGCAAATAAGTGGAATTTTTCTAAGTCCAAGGGGCATAACTCTAACAAAAAGGATGCGATCATACCCAAAACAGAACTTGACCTAGATATCTGCTCATAAATCTGTCTACTAAATTTCATTTCAATATGTGCAACCCCTGCTAAGAAAATGAATGGAAACTGCAAATAAATGGAATTTTTCTAAGTCCAAGGGGCATAACTCTGTCAAAAATGGTGTGATCGTACCCAAAACAGAACTTAACCTAGATACTCACCTGATAAACCTATATACCAAATTTCATTTTAGTATGTGCAACGGTTGTGAAGAAAATGAACGGAAACTAAATGGACCCACAGACCGACAGACAGACAGCAACAAAGCAATATGCCCTCCCTTCTTCAAAGGGGGGCATAAAAAAGTGCAATTTGTATATGTTTACCTGATGCCTTGACCACATGATGCGACTGTGAAAGTGTGTTTGAAACATGACGTTAGTGTGTGCTTGCTAGATGCTTTCATCAACTGAGACTTTTGAAGCTCTGATGTTTTGATCACATGACCTTTTTGAGTGTTTGCATGTTGCCTTGATCACATGATCTGATTTGCGTGTTCTACCCAATGATCACAAGATGTTACTGTCTCTGTTTGCTCGGTGGCTTGACAACATGAGACAAGTTATTGTGTTATTGTTTTCATTTGCTTTTTATAATTTTTTACGTGACAAATAGATGACATTGAAACTGCATGCCTTAAATTTTTGCTTGAAACCTTAACCTAATGGTGTTCTTGCATTCTGTTGATGATTGTTTGATGCTACCACTTGATAATATTCCAGCTTGTAAGATTTTTTCTGATGCTTTACCAAATGACATACTTGCCAACCTCCAGCATGCAAAAATCTGGTCATGACCAGATTTTGAAAGTAAAAAATCTGGTCATAACGCGTAAAGACATTCACGACATATTTACCATGATTAAATTATATATACTGATATATATGTGTAAGTATTTGTGTACTGAGAATTCTTTTAACAAAAAAGGCTTTAACTTACAATGACAAAAAATTCATATATAATTTGATTATAAATTTTCATGTTAAAAGAGAGCATTGAAGGTTTCATATATCAGCATTGACCTGAATCAGCCAGGTGTGCATTTTTAAAAAAAAGCAATTTCAGTATCTGCTAAATTTGAAAGTATTCCAATTTTGGCTTTAAAATAATTTTTCCTCTTTCGTAATTAACTAGTGCAAAATGTATTAAATACACAGTTAGGGCTATACTGTCTTCGATCACTTTATTTTATCTAATAAAAGTTTTTTTCCAAGATTCCTTGTTCATATGCACAAAAATATTGTTTCTCTTTTCCTTGGTTCATTCAGTGACATGTCTCTGATTCAATTTGTTCCTGCTGGGCCCTGATAACGATCTATTTTAAATTGACTTCAAACAATGATTTGTCAAAACAACACCCAGTTAATTGTTTACACCTGCACTGATAATTAATCCATCGGCATTGTTTACGTAGATCTAAGCTTGGGTTGTAACTGGAAGTTTTAAAAAGTGCAACCTAATTTACGAACCAAATCCGGAAATCTGGAGATTTTCGGGTTGTTCGACAAAAATCGGGTGAAAAGCATGACCCGTCGGGTCATAAAAAATAATCGGGTTACAGGTTGAAAATTCGGGTGCAACTTGACGAAATCAGGTGAGTTGGCAACTATGCCAAATAATGGTATTGGACTTGGAGTTGGTCAAGGTACACTTGATGCATTCATGTTACTGCAGTTTATAAATGTTTACCTGATACCTTGTCTACATGATGTTATCTTTCAATTTATTTATTGATTCGCCAAACATGTTGGCATATACCCTAGCTGCAGTTCTGTAGCTCTCCGAAAAAATATATTGATAGACCGGAAGACTTCCATTCAGTAATTTCCCTTGTTGAAAAAACTGTATATTTATTGCGCACAAAAAAGTGCGCTCGGTTATCGATTTATTTCTCCACGTTTTTAAAACTGATCTCAAAATATTACTAACCGTGTGTTCCTAACATATTCTTTCGCTGTTTCCACAACCAAACATTCCTCATAATTATTGTTAATAGTCCTCCTGACCCTGATATTGTAATCATAAAACATTTCGCTTATTTATACTGCCATTTTGGTTTCAAAGATAATTTGGTCCAATATGCTTCGTTCAGATGCCAACTACGAGAGTACTTGATAGAGGAGAATAATTTTTTTCAAATCTTCCCTTTTTTCGCAATTGAGGTATGAATTTGGAAGAATTAATCAAGAACCGAGCGCACTTTTTTATGCGCAATAAATATACAGTTTTTTCAATGGGTGGCTCTGTAGCTCTCTGGTCTATCAATATATTTTTTCGGAGAGCTACAGAACTGCAGCTACATATACCCATGTTATAACGGTATGTATAATGTTTACCTGATGCCTTTACCACATGTTGTTGAGCAGTATGACCAAGACTTCCATTCAGTAATTTCACAGTCTTGTTGACAGCATGGACCATGACAAACCCTTGCCTCCTCTAACACAACAGGTGCCCCCCTAACACTCTGGTTTAACAGCATATAGTCCTACTCCTATTCCTGAATTTCCTCCCCACACACACCATTATGCAAAATGCAGTCACTCCACGCAGACCATGGATCAACCTGCAATAAATCAGAAATCGTAGCTGCAACCCAACATATTTCCGTGGTACATATATTTTTGCCAATGAGTTTTGACATGGACTATGTAAGCTAGATAAAAATTACAGTTCTTACAATATTACTACAATTACCCGATTACAATTAGGCCTCTAATGCAGACTAAATCCGATCTCTGTCTAAAGATAAATCCTAAGAACTAACTTTAAGAAGGCAGATATTCTCAAAATTTAAAGATACTTTTCATATACGTAGCCAAAGTGAAGCGTAAGCAGAAAACGTCACTCGTCAGGGGAGATGCGACAGGGTTAAACCTATAAATTGGTAAATGACCACCGGCCATGGCCTTGGGTCTAGTCTGAGTCCCTTGTGGGCTAAGAGGGCAAAGCCCCCTGAGCTCCTGGCATGGGTTTTATCAAATATTTCCATCATTTTCCTTTCAGGTCGAGGAAATATTGTTCCGATTTACTGCTGCTCAGACTGCTGATGTTGACACTTCCCGCTTTTCGTGAACTAAATACCAAAACCGAGAAGACGTAGATATGATAAACTTTGCATTTCCGGATTTATTAGCATAACATTGGGGAAATATACATAACAAAGTTTAACTGGTTAGATTTAGATTCATATATTCTACGTAAACTATACTGAATTTCTTCAGAAAAAAAACTTATAAAGTTACATTGCGGGTCCATCAAATGTTTTTTCCAAATATCTTTCCTCAAGTCCTTACGAAATATTACGGGATCTGTAGCGTTATGTTCAAAGACTAATATATAAAACCATAACGCTTCAGTTCTGCAGCTTCACTGTAAACTCTGCAGCTACTGCCAACCGGTCACATTCGCTCTTTGTCATCATGGTCATGATCGGGAAATAACGGAAAAATCCATCGTCAATTCAGTGTATAAATAATGGACTAACAATTAGTATGAAAAACGTCACTCAGCATTTGACGCAATGATAAATTGTATTTGATGACAAGGTCATTGTATCGACCATAAAACATAAGAAATGATGACTTTAAACGAGACTGTTGATATTCTTGTTTCATCAACTTGTTTGTTAATAATTTACCTCGTTAAAAAATTGTGAATACATAGAGCATGCTCTTGCGTATCGAATCAACTGAAAGATATAAACCCCGTATACAGGCGATGAAGGTATATTGCTGTTTAAGTAAGGGAAGTTTACTTTGAAAAGTCAGTCATCACGTTTATCATAAAACTTGGTTATAAGATTACTACAGGCACGTAGTATGGGGGGGGGGGGTCCGTCTGATATGCTCTAGGGTATCAATTTCTTGCCTGCCCCCCCCCCCCCCCACTTTTACCTTTACTATAGAAAATGTTTACTGAAAGGAAGGTTGGCCCCCCCACATTTCAGCACAGTGTAGTGTTATAAAGAAAATTTGGGCTCCCCAAAAAGTTTGAATAGAAAGATAGTCGGTCTTGAAAAAAGTTGTCCGCAATTCCCCCCCCCCCCCCCCCCCCCCCCCCCCCACGAAATAGGATTTTCGACTTTGGGCAATTCTTTTTAATTTTTCGGTCCTATTATTTTTTTTTTCTGACATTTTTTTGGTCCCCAGAGTAAAACCACTTTCAGAAACGATGCTACGTGCCTGTACTATTTATGTATTTTTATTATTTATTTTTCATATTAATTATCTAAATATGAAACAGATGTGCCAGACACTGTGGTATCTTTTATTTCAAGCTCACAGGGATATATTGTATCGACATAAGAATGGAAATATCCATTGTTAAGTGACAAAACGTCATCGATTTACTAGTATCTAAATGTCGAGTTGAAGACCACAGCAAGTGATTCCTTCTTTTCATAAGATTATGGACAAATTTTGCTTCATCGGATGTCAACTCGATTTATATGTATATCCCAGTGAAATCGAAATAAAAGACACCGAATAGTATTTTTACATCTGTTTTACATTTGGATGTTTAACAAACTATAGACAATAATTAGGGTCAACTTACAGCTAAATTACATGTATATGACAAACAAGATGATATTCTTATAAATTGTCAACTTACTGAAAAATAAGTTGACACTTCAAGTATTTCAATATCTGTAATTCAAGTATTTAAAAAATTCTATGCATTGTGGTTATAAATACCAGGTACAAATGGGTTTGTATATACCAATTGTTGGGCTATTTTTGTTTATATTTTTGATAAATGATTATTCCATTAAAACTCATAAAAGTTCGATAAATCAAGAGTGAAATCGCCTAGTTATATAAGGAAAAAATTCGGGACCGGAGACTCACTTCGAGCGATCAAGAACTTCGTGAGATCGAAGTTCGAGCCATCTAGAGTTATCTGTATGTCTCCAAGTTGATTCAAAATACAAGAGCAATTGAACTGGTTCTAAAATATGGCTAGCCATTGACAAATAAGCTGAGGATACACGACGTCAAATCAGTTAAATATTACCGAAGCACAACGAGATGCAAACTTAAATTAAATTTGTCTTCAAAATGGGCTCTAACTATACATCAACATACACTGTAGATGATTTTTCAATGAAATCTTTTATTGGGAATTAAAACATTTATTCAATTTTTAGATGGAGTCTATATGAAAATGTTTTAAAATTTAGCAATGTACTTTGTTATTATATTATATGAGCATGTTTTCAAAATTTTGCTATGAAGAAAAGCAGACTGATGATTAAGAATTGAATCAGAAAAATGGTATCTAGCAATTTGAATTAGCTCTGAAAATACCAGCATACCACACAATCCACATTGTTATAGCGCTCACATTCCTCCTGAATCTCCGACACAGGATTCTCAGCACACTTTATTCCATTACACTCCATTGGCTGGACAAATCTAGTTCGTGTTCGATTGGCCACTCCGCACGTTGTGTTACATTCTGACCAAACACTCCATTCTCCGATCTGACAATCTACCGGACAGCAACCCGCGATACACTCTTCCTCTTCTTCATGAAAAGGGCATGGATCCGCCCCACAGCTTGGCTGCTGTTTGATCAACTTGGTCCTGTTCCTTACCCCATTTTGCTCACACGGACCTTTACAAATGCTCCAAAATGACCACGTGCCCAACACACATTCCCTGTAACATCTTAGATGTCCACATTTTATCTCCTCTAAGTCACTTGTACAGGAAACTCCACCACACGAGCTGTTAGCCACCACTTTCCGAATCCTTTGAAAAACATACCTCTCTCCTCCTTCAGAACAATTAAAAGAAAAGTATAGAAATTTCCATGGAGTCCATTCACTGTACACACAATCCTGTGGACAGCATTTCCTATTACATGCTGTTGTTTCTGTAGTATTTAAGTTACAATGGCCCCCACAAGAGGCTTTTTGCAAAATCAACCTTTGTCTTGTTTTCGTTCCCAGGTCTCCACATGTATTGGAACAGTCCGGCCATTCTGTCCACTCATTTACAATGCAGTTTTGCGGCTCGCATAACTGACCGTTAGATAGTAAAAACTTTATAAAAATGGTAAATAAAGTGCTGAGGTACATAATACAAGTATGTTATAACGTGAGCATTCTAACTTGTGGGAGAAATTTTGATTGAATTTCTTTGACCAAAAAATTGAGAAAAGCATCCATCGTTTTATTGTTTGAACACAAAGAAATATGTAACCTTAACAACTTATTTTACGACTAGTCTTATGTGTTCATCCTAAAGTCGATTGATTTACCTCGAAAAAGAAGGGGATAGTTCATATCAGTAAAATACCGAGGACAGATGTCCTTTAATGTCTACACAAATCTCTTAATCAGATTAAGATATTTCTCTGACGCATTACTACCACAAAACGTGTTTCATCAATCCAGCTCTTTCACTTTTGACATGTATGTAACATTGCGAAAAGTGAAGATTTCTTAGTAGGTCATTGCTCTGACCATACTTAAAAATAAAAGTAAAAGTTTCTTTAAGGTCAGACAACACGTTCTTCAATCAACATTAATTTTCTCCCAAGAATTTGTCGTTGAAGTATTGCTACATCAACAACTTTACTCATAAAAAGTTGAGATACCTTACCAGACATAATTTGTGCAGGATACAAGAGGATTTCCTGTAAAATATTACTAGAAATCAATAGTCAGTATAATTTTTGAAGGCAAAATTTCTTTTTTAAAGACATTTTGAAAATAGTTAAGAAATCAGAAGATAATGATGATTTTTAATATTTTTATGTAGTCATAAGAGATAGAAAATAGATATTCCAGGACGGCGTCTATATATTGCATGACCTTAAATTTCATTTCTATGAACTCAATGAATGCATCTCTTGCATCGTTTGAACACGTCGTGCATACTGTTAAAGATCTGAAAATTGGATATGAAGGACAACCTATTATCTAATCTTGTTAACAAGAATCAGTTTGCAGACTACATGATGAACCCTTACAAATAAATTGTAAGCAAACAAATTCCCAACGACTTTTACACATCATAGACGTCAACTGCTTCTAAACACCATACTGATATACCTAGCAAGAACTCTGAAGTGTTTAAATTAAAAGAAGCTGGACTTCCTCATTGAAAAGGTAAGTTTGATGTTAATTTCAAGCAGTTTGATGTAATAATTACGGATATAATTACGGGAACAAATCTGTTCCTCTATCAATAAGTTTTTAATCAAATGAACACTTCTATATGATAAAGTTCTTGACTTCATTTTAAAATTTTATTATATCGATGCAATTTTTTAAAACTATAAACAATATTCTTTATAGTTAGTATTTCAACTTTATATATCCCATCTGTTGTAGTTGTTAGAATGTTTTACTGTATGAAGAGCTAGGTTTAACCAACGACTAAACTGTCGGACAAACGCGATTAATCAACTTCTCCACCATCCACTTCCTCAGTCTGAGCAATGTGAGTAGCATTCCATTCACGTGTATATGGTGTCCAAGTCTCCTAACGTCATTTTTCAAAACCTTGCTCTCTTCACAACCAATGTTTAAACCGAGACTGGCAACAAGGGTTGGTCCAAAAGTAATGTCAAAACTGCTGGAGAAGTTAAAGCAATGCTACCAAAAAAGATACAAATGTCCCTATTTATTTTTGCCCTAAAACCACAGGCACTTGTTTCGGAAATAATTTTTTAACCCATAGTATAATAATAACACAAGGTATCTAACTCCGAATTACACTCAGTACCCCCTACTCAGAAATGCACTCATTTAAACTTTCAGATAAAAAGCACTGGCAAACTTTTTATTACCATTGTCTTTTACGATAATTTATCTACACAACCATATACGGCATGTATGTCTTTGTTTTCATTTATCTCCGTAAACAGCGTCAAAACTCTGCCCGTCGAGTGGAAAGTGGAACTCAACCACGAAACGGTATGTGCTGATCCCGCACGACAATTTTGATTGGCTAAAAATCTGTATCTAAAATTACATCGAAAAAAATGTCGTAGTGTTTTTATGAAAAATGAGACGTAATCAAATTTTATTCATTCAGTGCAATATTCTAAATCTGAAATTGAATTTTTAAACTCACTGATTTTTTTAGTTTTGCTCTTTGCCCGAAATTAGCACATACCGTTTCGTGGTTGAGTTCCACTTTCCACTAGGCGGGCAGAGTTTTGACGCTGTTTACGGAGATAAATGAAAACAAAGATATGCATGCTGTATATGGTTGTGTAGATAAATTATCGTAGAAGACAATGGTAATAAAACGTTTGCCAGTGCATTTCATCTGAAAGTGTAAATGTAAGTGTAAATGTTTCTGAGGAGGGGGGTACTGAGTGTAATTCGGAGTTAGATACCTTGTGTTATTATTATACTATGGGTTGAATAATTATTTCCGAAACAAGCGCCTGTGCCTAAAACATTAGATTATTTACGATTCTTTTTAAAATATTAAGATAAACACAACCTAAGGTTTTTGCAAGAATGTTACCGCCTCGCAATGACGTTGCTACCTTACTTTTCAAGAGTCTTGTTTAATTAAAGTCTGCATTTTGTAAGTTCATTATGTTTTTGAGTCACTATTTTTTCTACAATTTCGACCACGGACTACTCTGTTTATTCGATATCACCAGAGGGTTCAAATTAAAATGGTTATCTTCTTTATATATATGAAACCAGAAACTTTGGGGTGGGGGTAATAGTGTTCACCTTATTTGCTTTTTAAGGACCAGAGGAGAGTAAGTTTTCTGTACCAAATGTCAGGACATAAACGCTGATAAGAAGTCATATACATTATTACTCTATGTATAAAATGAGTCTCGGACTTAAGGTCGGACGATACGTTTCTCAGACATCTGTTTTGTATATCTTCATAATATATAAAAAATATTTAAATCTATTATTACCTTTTGATTTTTAAACTGGTTTCTAATTGTCTTTAGAAATTTACAACTCTAAAATTCTTTATTTTGGCAATTTAATTTATTTCCAAAAAGATTATGTAGGCAAAACCATCCTCTGGTATCTTGCACAAAAGTCTGGTAAGGTACTTCAATTTATTGTGAATAAAGTTGTAATAGTAGCATTACTTCATTTACAAAATCCAAAAAAATATATCTTATTTACAAATGTAGGAACATACCGTCTGTCCTCAAAGTGTTCTTTTGCATTTTAAAAAAGACAACATAAAAATTTGCAGATCTTTTTTTAAATATCCCAGTTTGATCCAAAAGTTTCCCTTGAACCAAAAATTCTGTTTTCAGGTCTCTCTCTCTGATTCCAATTCTATCTGATTCCGTCCACTTACCCTTAACGCCTCTTCGGAGAGGATACGAAAACGTGATAGAAACTGACAAATCATACATCAATATCACCGAAGGGATGTGGTTTTCAAAAACTATTTTATTACTTCTTTTCTAGAGGGCATTCGTAGAATAAAGAAAGGAATGAGCAGACACTTGAATTAGCCTTCGTAAGTGCACTTTATGACATAGGCGTACTCAAGAAATCAATAAAACTGAAATCATTTGTAAAATACTAGTAAACTTTATTGTCCTGAAATCTCCTTTAAGCAATTTTATAATGAACATGTTGCTAAAAATTTGTTTGGCTGATTAAGATTTGTACCTGATTCTTTGTCACCTATACTGCTAGTTCCTAAACAATATCTCCTCGTAAGAAAGTTATATGTTATAATTGATTTATTGTATTTTTTACGTCCCATTCAAGATTTTTTCAATCATTTAGAGACGTCTGTGAAAATTAAAGAATCGCCCTTATTTGGATTTTAGATATCATCTGTTAATATTGAATCATACTAAGTGATTTATATGAGGAGAAATGATATGTATTCATTGGTTTATGACATTGTTTAGAGCTTATTTAAATATTTTAAAATAGATTTGCACTTAAGCATACATAAAGTTTTATTAACCATGCTTGATTTATGGAACGCCAAATTTGCTTCAATGAAATATGTTGAGATGACGAACAGTATTCGAACTCAAAAGTCCAATAAACATTACAAAAGAGGAGCGGAGCAAATACGGGCCTCAAAAACATCAGAGATGGGATCAGGTGCCTTGGAGGAGTGAGCATCCCCTACCGACCGGTCACATCCGCCATGAACTACTTGTCATGATCGGGAAAAAGCAGAAAAATGCGTCAACAACTCTGAGTGTTACATGTAATAATGGTCTAACAATCAATATGAAAAAAAATCAGACAGCATTTCACTTAATGATAAATCTTATTTGCTGACAAGATCATTGTATCGACCAAAGAACTTACAAAATGATGACCTTAAACGAGACTGCTGGTATTCTTGTTTCATCAACTGGTTTGTCAATAACTTGCCTTGTTTAAGAAACTGTTCATACGTAGAACATGCTCTTCCTTATCGAATCAACTGAAATATATAAACTCCTTATGCAGGTGATGAAGGTATATTGCTGTATAAATAAGGGAAGTTGACGATTGAAAAGTTAACGCCACCACATTTAACACGAAACTTGGGTTAGGTTACCATTTTACTTTTTCAAGTAAACTATTCAAATATGAGACATGCAGATGTATCAGACTCTGTGGTAGCTTTTATTTCAGGCTCACCGGGATATATCTTATCAACATAAGAATGGCAAAAAATAAATAAATAAATAAATAAATAACACAAATATCTAAATGTCTAGTTGAAGGCCACAGCAAGTGCTTTCTTCTTTTCAGATATAAGCTTATGAACAAATTCTGCTTCATATGAATACAAAAATTGGTCTGCTAATAATGGGGCGCAATTAGTACACATGGGAATTCCCATTAATATTTGGAAGACCAGGGGTCCGTTTTACAAATGCAAATTCTTCATTAATTAAAAAAAACACTAATTAAACACAACTTACGACTAAGACCAAAAACTAATATTGATTGTAAAATTTTGTAAAATGATGATTCTGTTTGAAACTGCTATCATGAAAATATCTTGTTAAATTCTTTTACAAAAGATTAAAATAAAATTCAAATCATATAAAAGAGAAAGTTATGAGCATAATTAAATTTTGGAATAAGTTCTTTTGTAAAAAATGTCTCCAAAAACTATACAGAAATATATTTTCAATCAGAAATTCAAGCATCTTTCTAATATCAACACTAGAGTACTTGTGTGTACAATCAGAATGATTTTTGACAAAATGATTTTGCATTTTATATATAATATATTAAGAGGTAATTGGTTTAAAAGGTCATATTTTTTTCTTTCCTTCTCATTTTAAAACAATTTGAAACAGAAATGGCAAACTGAGTTTGAAATCAAGCGGGGACTATATTTTACTGCGGAATGGCGGCGTATGGAGATAATTCCTTTTCTGCTTCTCAAAACTACTAATGGATTTGGTATCAAATGTTGAACAATTAAACGAACTCAAATTATTTAGTTATTGATTAAAGTTTTAAAAATATATATTAAATGAATTTAATTTTTTCAACAAATTACTTGAAAGTATCGAATCTGAGAACAGATTTGAGCAATAAAATCAGTAAAAGGCGTTTTTATTTTTCTAAGTGGGCAAAACTATATTTCTTCAGCATCATTTTGTATCTTTATATGACTACAATACGTAAGTGGAGATAAGTAAAAATTAAATATACTAAGCATATTAAAAAACTAATATTGCCTAAAAAACTAAGAAAAATAAAGGATTAAATTCAGATTAGTCAATATCTATTTCTGTTAATCTGATAAGATGATAAATAAGAGTTTTTTTTTAAATTTATTTTTATTTTTATTTTGCTTAATGTCAATGAAAAATATAATGAAAATGACCTTGACCTGGCCTTGCTTCTAAAATACTAAAAATACAAAAACAGACTTTAAAAAACACTGACCTAGATTTTGTTTGTAATTTGTTGAGCAATTCATTTCTCAATTTCCATTGACTGAAATGCCTTATAGCCAGAGATAGATTTCATTCATAACTGAATTCACTAGCAATTAAATGTGCATCACTGCTCTGGTAATGAAGTTACATGCAGTCAGTTTTTTAGAGCCACTGTTACAACTTAATTAAACTTTTCACGCAAGGCAATTCATCATCATTCTCCATAATAGAGGATATTTTGAATCATTGCTCAATATTTCCGGCATTTTGCTGTTGCACAGTGCATCCCTTAAAACTTTTGTGGACTTAAAACATTGCCAAAAAAATAATAAAAGTTTTATTAAGTAATTTATTTGTTGGATTTGATTAGTCGACAGACGCATGACTTTGTCAACGTCTCCAGAAAATTATTCTAGTGCCCAGTCAAGAATTTCTCAAGTAAATTTGTTGTAGGAAGAACTGAATTCTGGTAAAATGATATGTAATTTCTTCTGTAACATTTCATATTTTTTCCCTTTTCACTCTAAATTCTCATTGCTCCAAGAAGTGTATAATTTTTAGTTTTAATGACGTAGCAAGTTAACTACTAGTATTTAATTATCTACATATACTGAAAAAGCATTACAAGGGTAGGTATGTGATAATTTAAATTCAACTCCCAACAAGCTAATTCGGAGAATTTTGGTTCGCACTTTTGGGATACTAGTATGAATGAAATATATGGAGATAACGAACATTATTTTATATGTCTGTATGTATACGTGCACTTTAAATAAAGCATCCCTTCAGAGAAATAAACTGTGTCAACATGCAATCCAAGTTAAAAGGCAGGGAAACCCAAAGGCACAGATAATATCTGTCAATTAATTGATAATCACGAAAGTCATGCAAGGTATAGAGCTGATTAAATAAAAAGGGAATATTGGCTGCCATCCGGAGGACGGGTATTTCCGTCCCTCCTCAGAGAAATTCTGTGTAGGCTTCAAATTTCCACACCCCCGGTTTTTGTCGGTATCTGCATACAACAGACCAATGATAAAACATGACGAAACTGGACTT